AGCAAGCGCGTGTTCTGGGGGAAACTTGACAGTCTCGTGCGGAGGATCCGTTCCAAAGAATATGTGTGTATCCTTATGGACGCCAACGCGCGGACGGGAGATAGGTTGGACGGAGGGGACGGAAGAGTAATAGGAATGTACGGGCGTGATGAGCTCAACGACAATGGCATGCTACTGTTGAACTTCGCAACGGAAAACAGGCTAGCTCTCACGAACACGTTCTTTGAGACACGCAAGGGCGGAATATGGCACACATACAACGGTGTGTCGGGAACCGATTGCAAGCGCCTTGACTACATCCTGACAAGGCAGGCACATCACGGCCGAGTATCTAATGTGGTTGTCATCCCCCAGCCGGTTCGCCCAGTCAAAGCAGACTCAGACCACAATATGGTAGTAGCCACCGTCAACCTCGGTGGCAGGCTTGCCCACAACCGTGCAGTCCGGACTAAACCGAAACAGAAGCAGTTCAACCGACGGGAATTGCAGTTCGAAGCAGCACGGTGTGCGGTGACTAATCGGTTCCTCCTCAACCTCGACACACAACTGGACGAGCGAACAACCACCGCCGCGGTATTGGCGACGGACTTTACCAATGCTCTCCTCGAAGCAGCGCGGACGACCCNCCGAAACAGAAGCAGTTCAACCGCCGGGAATTGCAGTTCGAAGCAGCACGGTGTGCGGTGACTAATCGGTTCCTCCTCAACCTCGACACATAACTGGACGAGCGAACAACCACCGCCGCGGTATTGGCGACGGACTTTACCAATGCTCTCCTCGAAGCAGCGCGGACGACCCTGGGGGAGGAACCGCGGAGACGCCGCACGCAGGAGTGGTGTGAGACCACAGAGACGCGAGCAGCGCTGGAGCAGGCCCTCAGCAAACGTCGGGAAGCGCGCCGGGCGATGAGGGGCAACTGGAACTCAGCAACGTGGAGGGTTCTCAAAGCAGCGTGTAAGGGAGTGGCTACAGCAGTCGAAACGGGCATTTATGCCCACCTGGACGGGTATGTGACTGAACTCGAAGCAATCTACAAAGATCGCGACATGCGAGGACTGTATCAACACCTCAAGAGATCAGTGGGCATCAGCGGGAGACAAGCGGGGGGACCGCTGCACCGCCCAATTCTGTGCCAGATAACGGACGGCAGAGAGAAGCCCTCACGATTCTTCGCATGCGTTCGTCATTAGGTTCAGAACGGTCTTCTTTGTCAATGCGAGTAACCGCTTCGGCCAGCAAAGGAAGAATCGAATTCACCGTTCGATTGGATTTCGTCGTGTACATGAGGATGTAAAAAACGAGTCCTCGGGCATCACCATTTCCCAGAACAACCTGCGAAACACGTGCCAGTAACGACATTAAACAACATGACTCATGGTGACCACACATGGGTGAGCAACTAAAAACACGCATGCCATTCACAATTTCACCAAACGCGACATTAGATGCAATTGTCACCGTACGTTGATGTCCATGTTGGAACGGATGGCCTGCTAGACAACCCAATTGTAACTGTTGATGTGGGTTGATCCGCGGCGCACCCGTACCAGGAAATCGTCGTCGCCGTCTTCAAATGGAACGTTGTCATCAACTGCCTTCGCGCGGGCGCGAATAACTCTGTCTATTTCCCTCTGAAGTTCCAGTGCAGCCGTTTGATCGTTTGGCCCGTCGACCTCTACCGTCACGCCGTCTATCTCCAGCGTACCGTCCGAATAAACAACTGCTCTGCCGTTCTTCATACTTCCTCTATCGAGAATAGGCTTTCCGTCAACGCCGAACCCAAATCGACACTCGGCACCAGGGAGTGGTAGTCCATCTGATCCTTTTTTCCCATATTTTGTGCACGTGTGTGTACATCCATGCAAAGACGCCACCCATGCTAAAGAGGACGCGTCTTCAGCTATGCACGAAAGACACGCGGGGTTTTCTCCGAATAAGCGCTGAATATTGACTGCAGGAACAGGAGGACAAAATGATATCTTGCGCTTGTCTTTTCTAGCCTCTCTTGTGTGAAGTGGCTCCGGCCATTCTTCTGCCGAAACGCTGTCGACGTCGTAGCTCTGGTTTTGTTGAGCGAACCCCTCATCAAACGGTGACGCGTTGGGGAGCACAACGTTGTTGTACACTGGCTCGGATTGGTTGAAGAGGCCGAACTCTACCTCTTCGGCGGACATGACCTGGTTGTAGATTATTCGTCCGATGTACCTGTTCAAACACAAAATCAGAATCAACATATGAAGAACTATTGTACTAACAATAGAAGGCGAATGGTTGTTGTTGTTGTTGTTGTTGTTGTTGTTGTTGTTGTTGTTGTTGTTGTTGTTTTCACATTAAAAACCATCCCGGTCTCTCTATCCAGTACCTCCTTCTGTCTCAATCTCTCCTTACTAATCCAGCACTTATTTGACTCGGTCAATTTCCGTGGTCACAGGCTATCGTACCTAGAAAAGGTATACCAAAATAAAATGGACCCCAAGGGTTAGCAGAGCGATAAAATACAAGAAAACAAAAGAATCAGAAACACATAAATAAATAAATAGTGGAACGTGCGCACCACCAGCCTGGGGGGTAGCCTTCCGGAAGGACCCCAAGGGTCAGCAGTACGTGCCAGTAAAAAACGAAACAAAATGAAACGAAATAAACCAAAGACAGACGATGACATAAACAAACTCGCACAGAGACAGGGATATCCGTAGAGACAGTCTG